AGAAAATGATGCTGGATGGGAATCTGGATCTACACAAAAAAGTGAAGAATACCACATGTTGTCTTTATGTGTGTAAAGACTTTTATTAATATTCAGATCTCTAAAAGATAATTGTTTAAAGTGAAAATAATAACACTATATTGTAGAGGTTATAACATGTAGGAATAAAATGCATGGCAACAATACAAAGGTTGGGAGGGGAGGAATGGAAGTACACTGTTGTAAAGTTTTTAGATTATACACAAAGAGACCAGTGTCACTTCATGGTAACTGTTAAGTTAAAGATTTATACTACAAAGCCAAAATCACCCACTAGAATAATACAACGAAGAAACTCAGTAATTGTATTAAATGACATTGCCTTGGATTTCAGGAGCTATGCTGGTGTTTGAAGAAACAGATAATAATTAATAGATTAATAAAGGATGGCTACAGTTATAAACTGTGACCTTAAAACCAGAGCTCTCTGTTACAAATAAGAAGAAATCATTGTATTAAAATAGGACACATTAAGGAAAAAAGTTTTTGCATGCTTGCCATCAGATTTGTCCCAATAATAAATTAACTAGTGGAGCAAGCAATGGCAAAAGGATAAATAAAATTGTGACTTGTGAAAGGATTGGGACCAATCGTCGAATATTAAAATTTTGGTAGGAAAATGGAAACAGAACTAATCTCCAAATCCCTTATAGCCTTTTCTCTGTAGAGTGACATCTTTCACTTCCACAGAGTCAGTGTGAGAAAATTGGACGTTTTTTAAAGAGAATTTATGGCCTTGCAAAGAAATGGAAGAAGCTATAGAAGAGAATCAATGACCTCTTTTTCCTACTGCCTGGACTTTTAAATTTGCTTCATTATGTTATCTAAATAATACCATCAAATGTCTTATTTGGGTTGTGCAAATGCAGATACCTAAGGGAAGGAAAATAAGAAGTTGTCAGTTTTAAAATGTACTAGTTAATCTATGCATGTATACATTCATCCATTCAGTTGACACTTACAGATCCTCTGCTGTGTGCCTGACACTATGGTAGCTGATGGAGATATATTCATTAGCAGTTTAGGGAGCTCACAGTTGATAGGATAGCAGGCATCTAAACAAGTAGATTATAATAAAGTGTGATGTGTGCAATAATCCATTCAATGTTCAAAATACAGAGGTATAACGAAACAAGGGTTAACTCTAACTGGAAGAGAACATCAGGGAATGCTTCCTGGAGACCCTGATGCATTAACCTCTGGGCTGGATTTGAAAGCCAACTAAAAGGTTTGAGTGGCTGAAGATATTGGGAGAGATCTCGTAGGCAGGGGAATTACATGTGTAACATAGAGATGCTTGAAACAAGTTGCTGTCTAGGGAGCTACAAACAACTCAGTGTCGTTAGAGGATAAAGAAATGTGGTGGGGAAGGGAAGTATGGCAGTTAATGAGGCTGGCGTCAGATCAAAAGGGCCTGGTAGGCAACCTGGGTAAACTTACATATTCTAATTCTTAGTTGGTGGGTTCGTTTGAATTTTTTACACACTCAGACGTATCTTTTACACAGGCTTTATTTCTCCCCTCTTAACCCTTGTGTCTTTTACTTCTTGCATTTGTCCTACTGCACTGGCAAAGACCTTCATTCCATGTTAATAAAACTAGTGAGACAAGAACCCTTACCTTATTCCCTATCTCAGAGTAAATGGTTTTGGCTTTCACCGTTAATTTTGATGTAGGTTCCTTACAGACATTCTTTAACAGATAAAGGATGTTTCCTTCTTTTCCACTGATTGCCAAGAATTTTTATCCTGCGTGGACTTTGAATTTTATCACATATCTTTTCTTGCATCTACTAAGATACTCTGTGATTTTTCTTTTCTGTGCTGGTAATGTGGCAACTTATATTGATTGCTATTTTATTTATTTATTTTTACATCGTTGTTGGAGTGTGGTTGCTTTGCAGTGTTGTGTTGGTTTCTGCTGTGTGACAGGGTGAATCGGCTGTGTGTGTGCACGTGTCCCCATATACCCTTGATTGCTATTTTAAAATAAAACTAATGTTCCATTCCTGAAATAAACCAAACTTGATCATGGTAAAAAAAAAAAAAAAAAAAAAAAAAGCAGCGGGAGAGGCCACAACAGTGAGAGGCCCGCGTACCGAAAAAAAAAAAAAAAAAAAAAAGTGGCCTGGTAGGACATGATAACTGCGCTGAGGCTTGGCTTCATTGGTGATACCAAATGATTGCATTTTAGGCAGTAAACAGGCACAATTAAACTTTTGTTTTTGAGAGATCGCTTTATTGTCATTGTGGAAAAAGAAGAAAAGCTAGAAGAATGAAGAAAAGAGGATGAATTCAAGACCTATTTGGAGGGTAGAATTTGAGGATTCCTTTTATGTGGGAGTTAAAGGAGATAAGGTCTAGGGTAACTCCCAGGTTTCTGATTTGTGAGTTGTGATGCTAGCAACTGAAATAGAGAATAAAGGAAGCTGAACAATGTTGGGATTTTAGGGGAATGGCAGGGAGAGGATGAAGATTGTGAGTTATGTTTGGTCATGTGTGAATCAGTATGTGGGTATATGTGGAACTGAGGACTAGAAACAGAGATTTAAGAGTTAACAGGGTATAGGAGGCTTTCTACGAGCCCCCAGACTAGCCATTTTGCTCTGTTTAATTGCTTCCGTAGCCCTCATACTTCCTCTTTGATGACATTACACTTGTAACTCTCTATCAAATCTCTAGCATCCTCTATTGGATTGTGAGGTCCTTGTTGAAAGGGATCTTATTTGGTTTGTTCACCAACTCCTTTTTAGTGCCCAACACAGTACCTGGTACATGAGACTGAATAAATGGGTGTGGACATAAGTGCCCAGGGAAAGA